CGCTAGGCCATTCGTTGTCGCGCGCTTGCGCAGTCGCGGGGTCAGCCCGCGCTCCGCACTCGCGCCGTCGTGCAGTCATTCCGCGCTCCGCACTCGCGCCGTCGTGCAGTCATCCCGCGCCCCGCACTGGCATCTGGAGCACTTGCGTCGTTGCTCTGCACTCGACCGGTCAGCCCAAGCCCCGCAGACACTCGACTCAGTCTGCACGCGCGGCCGCGGATACCGCCCTTACTCGCGCTGTCGTGATCTCGCTTCTCCGCAATCTGCTAAACCGGGTCGTGTCAGGTCAACCTGACAACCCACTCGGGACCGGGTTGAAATGTCTGACCCGTTTGCAAAAAATGGATCGGATTTAGGTTGACCTGCTTAAAACCAGGTCAACTTGGGTTCGACCCGAACCAAATCCGCCGACCCGAATTGACACCCCTAGAGGACGTGAAAGTTGAAGGGGTGATTGAACAAATTTTGTGACGGTTAGGAGTCTAGAGAGAGAATCTCTCTCTCCCTCTTTATATATGATATTTGTGAGAGTTTTATATTGAAGGTTATACAGATTTATTTTTTTTCTTCTCGTGACGGAAAGAGATAGAAATCTCATAAGATACTTAATTAGTAGAAAAAAAAAATCATATAACGTAATGCTCATCAACATATATTTATTCATATGATTTATTCGTGATAGACTTTACATTGAAAATTGCAAATTTTAATGAGAAAATGCTGAAGAATTAGGCTTATAATGTGAAATATGTTGGCGAGGAAGAATTATATGAGGAATTCTTAATAGGATTTCTCTCCGAATGAGATCAGTTAACACAGATTAGTAAATAACATATTGAGAAGCTCGCATTTTTAAAAAAATTTTGAAATCCGTTTTAAAATTACTTTTTTAAAACAATTCCCCCATTAAAAAAAAAAAGAAGAAACAAAAGATTCTGTTTTTTTTTTTATATATATATATACTTAAACCAAAAATGTACTGCGTAGTTGTTTTGCAGCAGCTTTGTAATTCAACGAAACAGAAAAACAAAAACACAAACACAAACAAACGAAGCTTTTAATGTTTAAATTTAAATTAGTTTCTTTAATATCCTTTGATTTTTGTACTTAACAGGACTTACGTGAGATTCCTTTGGCTCGATAGGAAATATTCCTTTAATACGATGAAAGGGGAAAGGAGAAAAGACACAAGAGAAGAAACCTAAGAGCCACAAGGAAGAGGGGATTAATCTAATTAAACTTCAATTTATGAGTTTTAAAACACTCTACTAAATATTAATGAGCTGACATTTAGTAGAGGATATTAAAACTCACCAAAAATAAAACTCAACTTGTTTTGACCCCTTCCCTTGCCTACATCATCTTCAAATGCCCTTTAATGCCAATCTACTAAAACTTCCAGTCCATAAAAACCAACGCATTCATAGAAGGCTAAATTTTTAAAAGGAACGTGTTAATTATCATAATTAGCAAAAACAGCATATTTATTTAAAAATTTAAAAAGAAGCTAATTCGCTAATTACATGAGCGCATTTAGAATGCGCTAAAACAATTAGCTAATTCATAATACGTCAAGCATCTTGGCGTATTCATAAAAGTGACAGAAATTTCATAAATAAATGGAGAAAAAGGTAGAGAGAGAACGGTAGAAAAGAGAGAAAATGATATATAGGCCAAATTTTCGAAAGAAGCGTGTTTGTTCTGGAATTTAGCAGAAGGAGCGTAACGAGGAGAAAATTTGAGAAGCAGCTAATACGCGCTCATGCTTAACGCATTCAAAGAATGCGCTTAATGAAACGGCGCATTCTATGAATGCGCTGTACCAAATAGCGCAATATGTCCAATGCGCGGTACTTTGTGGCGTATTCCTCCCGATCCAGACTTGAATGCGCGGTAC